CCCTGCACTGCATGGTTGAGTACATAGTGCATAGGTACATAGTGTATGAGTGCATAGTGTATAGTGCGTCATTTGGGATGCAGCTTATGTTTTTCATTCAAATTCACTCTTTAGGTTTATTTAGACCTTAAAAGATTTATTAAGGAAATGTGTTGATTATTTCACAAAAATGGCACATCTCCTCAAACAAATGATACATTACATCATTTCAATATTTGGTGTACATGTTGACACAGGAATAGGTGCATTAGTACAGTGACTCCTAATCAAGCCAGATTTACATCATTTTTGTTTAAGCCTCAACATACTTTTTCTTGATTGTTCCATGAAACAATGTTAGGATATAATGTAATATAATCTGAGGATTCGGTTTTCTACATGTTTATTCACTCATTTTTTAAGAGCCAAATGTCATTTTAAAATTGAAAGTTACCAGAAAAACATGCACTTCAGTACAGAGCAACAAACAAAAACCGTCACATTTATGTGGGATAGATATCTGTGTCAAATCCATTCTTCCATGGCCTTGAAGGAAACTCGAGCCCACTTGCTGTGGCAGGAGATGAATGGTAGGGAAGAACCGTCAATCCTGCTCTGGCTCTTGGTATTACCAAACTGTTTTCATATACACATCCTATCACAGGAAAAGTTAAGACAAGAAAACATAAAAGATTTGAACCTTATAGCAATTTATCATATTGGCAATGTCTTACCAAGGTCGGGTCTTGTGATAGTCATTTGATGTTGACTGGACTCTAAGGAAACCGTTGAGCTCTGAGTTGAATTAGACTTGATGGATCTCACAGATGCCATGAAAGGAAACGTATTTGGTGGATTGTGTTTGTGTTTGGGAACCACAGTTGCAGTTTGGCTCCATTCTGAAAACAATCAGGAAGTTAGTGTTTGTGTTTTCCAAGATTGTTACAGTTACAAGAAAGAAATTTGTGCTTTACCAGAGTATTCCTGCAGCTTGAAAGCACCGCAACATAAATGTATTCTCCATTGCTTGCATACATTTTCCTTCATGAGACAATGGAACACAAAAATAAAGAATCCTGGAACAAATCACAACATATTAATGGACTAGATCCTAAAACTGAATCTAAATGAATTGTATGTGCTCTTTCTCACCTTGAAGACTGTTCAGTATGGAGAACAGGTAGAGGAGGAACACTTTAACAGGACCCCAAGCGAGAAAAGCCACAGACCAGGTGAGACCCAATAAGAAGGTAAGGCTCACCACTGCACGCAGGTCTTTCAAGATCCCACTTCGGGTGCCAGCCGGTTGATTGACTTGCATGTTTCGGATCTGGATCAGAACCACTAAGAAGATGGAACCATTGCACAGTAGTATGAAGGCTATGTAGCTCACTACTGACACGTAGAAAACCACATCATTTTGCACCCAGCAGCTGAAAAAGATATGAAATAATTCACTTTCATTCGACATGATGGTAATGTAAAGTTATTTCTTATTTGTAATGTTGTTCTGTCACGATTTTCATGAAAAATCAATCATCCAACTTCACTAACAACATTTCCGAATCATCCAGTGTCATTTGAGAATCACTCATGGTGTTCATGCCATATGCATCTCTCTTTATAGCCACCACCAAGCCACATATAATAAGCGGAATCCCTGTACAAAGACATAATGGATGTTAAGCAGAGATAAATGAACGATTTGAAAACATAAATATGTCTCTAAACGTTTAAATGAGCTTAAATGTCTCACCCCAGCCAAGCACGCAGAATTTCAAGATGTATGAGGGCACATACACATTGAAAACTTTAACCAACGCAAAGTACATATTCACAGCCCCCAAGCCCATCCAGGTGAAGGAAGTCAGTAAGAAATAGTGTAAAGTCACTGCTACAGCAATGCACAGGCCATGGATGCCCAAAGAAGAAATCCAGGAGTTCAGCAGGAACACCAGGTTCAGTCCCAGTAATGCAAGAGACAGATTCAACAGAATTTTGGATGGGTAGTCTCTTCTTAACTTCCTGTATTAAGATGCAAAGTTAATAGCAAAACAATGTAACATGAGAAATTACCTATAAAATGTACATTTTCTTGTAAAACATTTAGAATAGATATGAAAATGATGGCATTGGGTAGAGCGAGGTGATTTGAGCCTGCGGGGAAGTTGAGCCACCCCTTTTTTCTAGGCAACTTTAAAACAAAATTGGTTATGTGACCACAAGTTATCCATTTTACTCACCCTGTGATGGAATGTCCATGGAATAATTGGTAACTACATTTAAGTTAAAAAAACAGTTTTTTTGCTGTTCAAATAACATGAGAAATTACCTATAAAATGTACATTTTCTTGTAAAACATTTAGAATAGATATGAAAATGATGGCATTGGGTAGAGCGAGGCGATTTGAGCCTGCGGGGAAGTTGAGCCACCCCTTTTTTCTAGGCAACTTTAAAACAAAATTGGTGATGTGACCACAAGTTATCCATTTTACTCACCCTGTGATGGAATGTCCATGGAATAATTGGTAACTACATTTAAGTTCAAAAAACAGTTTTTTTGCTGTTCAAAGTGATTTTTGTATGTTCAAGGACTCATGCTTCTTGTGTCTGAACAATTACAGACAAATCTGAAAAAATATCACATGTGTTTGTGCTTTAGGAGGTTAATATATGAGGCTATACTGTTAGCATGATGTTAGCTCTAAACTTATGGATGATACAAGTTTGTTAAAATGGTAGTAGTGGGGTAATTTGAGCCAAAAGTCCTGGGGTAAGTTGAGCCAGTGGCTCACCCCTTCTTATGATTATAAAGTATTATTTTACTGTAATTCTACATTATACTTCATTAATTTTAAACATTTTTGATTTTGTTATTTGTTTTGAACTTGATTTTGTTCTGAAAATGTTAAATAGGCCTTGTTTATGAAAATTGGCCATTGAAGTTTTTTATGAAATTGCATTTCCCTGCAACATCTATAAGTGGGATGTTAAGTTCTATTAAGCCCAGTTCTGTAAGGTCAATTGCAGTCAGTTTTTATGTTTTGAATTTTATTTTGTGCTGAAATGTTTAAATAATTAAAAAAATGCCTTCAGAGTTGTGAACTGTATCTTTAAATAAAATGTTTAGAAGTATAATTCCATTATCCAAACCTCTTTGTCCTTATTAGGGTTGTGGGGAGCTGGAGCATGAGCCACAGGTAAAGAAAAACCCTGGATGGATGGTCAGTTCACCACTAGGCTCACATATAGATTTGAAGAAGTCATTTTTATTGAATTTCTCTTCCTTTGATATAGCATGAGGTGAAAATGTTCAGTTTTACTTCAGCATAATCAATGGCACAGCTTAACTTTTTGTGGCTCAACTTGCCCTCTCCCTATCCTCAATTTACCCTGCACTGGGGGCAAGTTGAGCCAAGAGACCACTTTTTTTTTTTGAAAGCCATATTTTGTAACAAGTCTTTAGATTAAAAGTGATTATTCCCAAGGATGCACCACATCCTGAAATTTAAATACAAATTTAAGTTGGACCCATTACTGTCGTGTGCTCACTTTAAACACACCATAAGTAAAAACTGGCTCAACTCACCCCATTCTCCCCTATATGGGGGTAATGCAAGAATGCTGCATTGCCATATATAAACATAAATTATAAATTACATCTTACTCTAAAAGGGTGTATGTTAGCACTGTGATCCCAAGAAAGCATGAAGACACACCACAACCCATGTATGTAATAAGAGTGAGGATTCGCTCATTCTTCTCATCAATGGGTGTTCTGGACACATCCTTAAATAAAAAAAAAACTTGGCTTAATAGACATTATTGAGACTACAATATTCAATGCACATATAAGTAATTGTAATTGAGTATCAAACACAGAATCATGTTGTACCAGCAGCACTCCAAAGTGGGTCATGTGGTCACACAGACAGGTTGTGTAATCATTGCTGCTATTATATGTCCAGCACCCCTTTTGATTCCATCCACCATATCCATCTAAAATAGAGCATGCACAAACCCACCCACTCATGAAATATAGCACCTAATGTGAGAATAATATTAATGAATAATATTATAATATTAGATAATAATAATATTAGAATAATAACTTGCCATTCTTATTGAAATCCCAGTAGACACACTGGACATTCTGGTCTTTCTGTCAAAGGTAAAGACAAATTTAGAAATAATTTCTGCCCGTGTATTTTTGAAATTCCTGGACATTCCTAAGTACTACTTACTTACTTTCTTAGTTGTTAGATGGTGCAGAGTGACTGCAACGTATTCTTTTAGGTTTTCAGTGCGTCCTGTGGCATTAGTCACACTTGCAGACACCACGTAAGTGTTCAGTCTTTTCCCATCTGGGTCATTCTGAGACAAATTCACAAATGTAGTTTGTCAAAATAATCTAACAGTGAGACAGACAAACTGTAAAATGAACATCTGCCACTGACGAAGTAAGATGAAGTCACCTTTGTTTGAAAGAGAGTTGGAACTCCGTAAAACTGAAACTGAACACGGGGGCTGGTGTTGTTTATGATGGGGAATCTCTCTTGTATTTCAGAGGGCAGAGAAATGAAGGCCACTGTACCATCAAAAGGCTCTCGGTTGATATAAATCTATAGAAGAAAAGCATAACGTTTGATCATTGTGTGATGATTTATATGCTTCATTACATTATATTACAATATAAAACAGAAATTCAAACTTATTGGCCAAATAAGCTCAGTTTCTCTGAAACATTCAATGGTCAATTCTTGATTATGCTTAATTTATAATTATTACATAAATAATAAATTGTATATTATATTACATTATATAATATTATTATAACGTATGCAGAGTGTTTAAAAAGTTCGGGGTTGTCACCGAGGCTGCATTTATTGGATCAAAAATACAGTAAAATACTATAAAAATTATTTTATATTATAAATATTATAATATACCATTTTAATTCATATTTGAATGTAATTTATATTTAAATGAATTTTCAGCATCATTACTCCAGTCTTCAGTGTCACATGATCCTTCAGAAATCATTTTAATTCGCTGATTTGCTGCTCAAGACACAATTCTAATTATTATAAATGCCGAAAACAGTTGTGCTGCTCAATATATTTTGCCTGCTCAAAATTGAGTATCAAACACAGAATCATGTTGTACCAGCAGCACTCCAAAGTGGGTCATGTGGTCACACAGACAGGTTGTGTAATCATTGCTGCTATTATATGTCCAGCACCCCTTTTGATTCCATCCACCATATCCATCTAAAATAGAGCATGCACAAACCCACCCACTCATGAAATATAGCACCTAATGTGAGAATAATATTAATGAATAATATTATAATATTAGATAATAATAATATTAGAATAATAACTTGCCATTCTTATTGAAATCCCAGTAGACACACTGGACATTCTGGTCTTTCTGTCAAAGGTAAAGACAAATTTAGAAATAATTTCTGCCCGTGTATTTTTGAAATTCCTGGACATTCCTAAGTACTACTTACTTACTTTCTTAGTTGTTAGATGGTGCAGAGTGACTGCAACGTATTCTTTTAGGTTTTCAGTGCGTCCTGTGGCATTAGTCACACTTGCAGACACCACGTAAGTGTTCAGTCTTTTCCCATCTGGGTCATTCTGAGACAAATTCACAAATGTAGTTTGTCAAAATAATCTAACAGTGAGACAGACAAACTGTAAAATGAACATCTGCCACTGACGAAGTAAGATGAAGTCACCTTTGTTTGAAAGAGAGTTGGAACTCCGTAAAACTGAAACTGAACACGGGGGCTGGTGTTGTTTATGATGGGGAATCTCTCTTGTATTTCAGAGGGCAGAGAAATGAAGGCCACTGTACCATCAAAAGGCTCTCGGTTGATATAAATCTATAGAAGAAAAGCATAACGTTTGATCATTGTGTGATGATTTATATGCTTCATTACATTATATTACAATATAAAACAGAAATTCAAACTTATTGGCCAAATAAGCTCAGTTTCTCTGAAACATTCAATGGTCAATTCTTGATTATGCTTAATTTATAATTATTACATAAATAATAAATTGTATATTATATTACATTATATAATATTATTATAACGTATGCAGAGTGTTTAAAAAGTTCGGGGTTGTCACCGAGGCTGCATTTATTGGATCAAAAATACAGTAAAATACTATAAAAATTATTTTATATTATAAATATTATAATATACCATTTTAATTCATATTTGAATGTAATTTATATTTAAATGAATTTTCAGCATCATTACTCCAGTCTTCAGTGTCACATGATCCTTCAGAAATCATTTTAATTCGCTGATTTGCTGCTCAAGACACAATTCTAATTATTATAAATGCCGAAAACAGTTGTGCTGCTCAATATATTTTGCCTGCTCAAATATTTCCTTTGGAAACCGTGATACATTTTTTCAGGATTCTTTGAATAGAAAGTTCAAAAGAACAGCATTTTTTTGGAATATAATTTTTTGTAACAATATAAAGGTCTTCACTGTCACTTTTCGATTAAATTGAATACATCCTTGCCTAATAAGCATAATTTCTTTAAAAAAATAAAATAAAAATTCATACTATCCCCAAACCTTATATAAAAATTAAGTTCCACTAGTTTCATGAAGGTGCTGTGCATGTGTGCTCACCTCAGGGTTTAAGCCTTTGTTAGTGGATGAGACTCCAAAGGTGAGGTGGTGAACATTTCCTTGGTCAATATTGACCACTGATATTGCTAAGGCAGAAGCTGTTAAACTGACCGACTCTCCAGTGAACCATAACATCTGGTCTCCAACAGACTCTGTGATGTTCAGAATACTACACAAATACAGGGAAGGGTTTTTTGTTTACACGGAAGGTATAAAAATCCACCTGTAAAACCCTCTCACACAACACCAGACCTAATTTAATGTATATTTACGCACAATATATTTCACTGTTAACCACATAAACTAAATCATTTTCCGTATTTGTTTGATTTTTATTACTATCATTGTTTAATAAAAATCAAGCAAATATATTAAATGAACACTCAGAGTCTCACATACACACACCTGTTGGTGAAAGGCAGCAGGTTGCTGTCAGACTCCAAGATGTCAGAGGTGATGTTGATAATGACCTCTCCCAGTGGAGGTGTGACCACGCTAACGTTAATCACATCGGCTAGTTTATCCAGTACCATTGAGAGCTCGTACTCATCCAGATCTTTGTTCTCATGTATCAAATCCTCAATCATGATCAGAATATCTTCTGCATTGTCTAATAGGGAAATGCACAGAGAGTGTTTTTAAGATGTGCCCATATATTATCATACGTTTGGATCATATAGATGCTAATGTGTTAAAACAGATTACTAACATACTTTTGTCTTTGCTGTGAATGAAATGATGCTTTTATGTTTAATTCAGTTCACTTCTGTTTATTTTAAAAGAATAGTTCACCCAAAATTAAAATTTGCTGAAAATGTTCTCACCCTCAGGACATCCCAGATGAGATTTGCAAAAATGTAGCATTACATCACTTGTTCACCGGTGAATGGGTGCCGTCAGAATGAGAATTGTGATGTTTTTATCAGCTGTTTGGACTCTCACTCTGACGGCACCCATTAACTGCAGAGGATCCATTGGTGAGCAAGTGATGTAATGCTAAATTTCTCCAAATCTGTTCTGATGAAAAAACACACTCATCTACATCTTGGATGACCTGAGGTTGAGAACATTTTTTAGCAAATTTTCATTTTTGGCTAAACAATTCCTTTAACAGGAAGCTTGTGTATCTAATTTAAATTCTGTGAAGGGATTACCATTAGTGACTGTGATGTCCTCCAGATCTGACACACTGTTGACCACAACCTGGCATTGCCCCAGGTCTGGAGATTTCCAAAGAGCATTGTTAGAGTTTGCACCTAGAAAACTGTTGGGAGAGAAGGGTGAGACTGTCACAGTTGATAAACCTATCAAACCATTAATTACTTGGATCACTTCCCCCCATTAACTATTGCAAATTGTTCAGAGCTGCTTGACTCCAAGATACACAACATTATATAATGCTGTTCAGGTTCGGGTTTAAAACCTGCTCATCCATTTTATGGCTGTAAATAAACCTTGAACGACTGAAACATCATGGAAACACAAGAGATTGCTTTCCCTCTGCAATGAAATCGATCATACAAACTGTTCTGACATTAATGATACTACTATATGGAACATACATGTGATTAATTGGTTTACAGCAGCCCCTTCAAATATTAAATCAGACGCTTCCTCTTTTTAGAGTTAGTGATTAGGAACAATAACCTAGTGGAGTGTCAAAAGATTTACAGGCTGTCCATCAATGTCTCATTAAGTAGAACAGACAGGCAACTATGAATTGGAATTGTTAAATGATTTAATGCAATTATTATCATTTGATTAAAGATGAAGTGTGTAATTTCCGTGCCACACCAAATGTACTTGTAATTGGCTGTTTGAGATATTGGCTCAACTCTTCCTGGAAGAATGCTTTCCAGAATTTTTGCAAATTGAGAAAATGTAATTTTCCCTTTAAAGTTTTCCATAATCAATGTTTGTGTAAGTAAGGGAAAGAATTCTTAAAACTTGTGAAAATAATGTTTCATGACTTAATAGGAGCATAGGAGAACGTTCTTAGAATATTAATTAGTTAGATGGGAATGCTGGGAATTATTTTTGCATTTATGTCTGGTGCTGCTAGTAATACAGAAATTACATTATTTATCGTTAAGCGTCATATATTTTGGTTTGGTTTGTATCACGCAGTATATTTAAAAAATATTTTCAAAATATATTTCTTTAAAAAAGTATGAAGGAATTTTTCGAACATCAATTCTATTTAGGTAAAAGTGAAAATTTTCAAGAGAGGCTCTTACCATTGTCTATATGCTGTCTTTTCAGGGTTTCCCACACAGGAAAGCGAAACGATGAGCTGAACCCCAAACTGGGGCCATTTGAAAAGCCCATGCCTGGTGTGATGGTTGTGCTCAGGGCATGGCTCTGTTTTTAGCGAAGAAGAAAGATACATTCCGACAACTCTGTGTGTGGTTACACAATTCAATTTATTTAATAATGTAATTAAATTCCTCAGTCCATATTACAATGAAAGAGAGGTATGAAGTACTGAGAATGAATCATGATCTGATCCTCCCATCGTCTGGTCAGATGCAGCACATACCAATATAAGAAATGAAAATGTCCTCGGGTTGGGCATATAAGAATACTGCTCCACTGGTGTATGGTTTCTCCAGAAGTCTGTCAATCAGGTTTATTGTCTCTGTGATGTTTGAGGAAGTTTTTACCTGGGCATGAAAGACACAGCTATGGCTGGGAACAAGCCATATCAGATAACCCCATTAAAACACATTGTATGTTCACGACAATTATTGTTCACTATTGTTTACTTTTCTTCAACTGCTGTCTTGTAATGAACATCTTACCTTGTTACTAAAAGCAGGGATTGCTGCCAGACAAACGAGCAAGATAACAGGATATATATTATACAAGATAACACAAACACACACACACACAACACACACACACACACACACACACACACACACACACACACACACACACACATATATATATATATATATATGTACTTTTTTTATTTTAATGTTCATTTTAGTAGAAAAAAATGAAAATTGCTGTTAATATCTGGAATCATGTACCTTTCTATCCAATTTAAATGACTTTGTTTCCACACTGCAAACACAAATCAGACATGCATGTTAAACAAATTCTACAGTGTGTCTTGTGGTTTGGTCTGTTCTCTGCAAAAACAACAAGACTGACTGACCTTCGTTTTCGTGCATGTGTTGAGGAAGTCAAGATTTTTAAGTGCAACACGTCTATTCCTTTACTAGAAAGAGTTTCATGAAGCTGTAGTGATGATAAAAAAACATCTGTGATGTGATACTGATGTTGAGATGTGATACTTTTTTCTGGTTTGACATGCAACACATTTGGATAATTTTAGGTTTTCTTGGTTTAATATCTTACCCAGGTTGTAATTATGCTCTCAGGGTCATCAGAGCATATGATATTCACACTGACATTGACACTGAAATAACTTTCTATATTCAAGACAGAGAGATATTGTTAAATAAGCCTTATTTTGTAAAAGCAGTAATTGCACATAGAATATGGTTTTTTAACACAAACAAAAAGGCAATTCTTGACCTGATATGTTTCCTTCAGGTGAAATAGTAGAAGAGCATGCAGTTGTATTTAATGTAAGACTTGTTGTGGAGGATAAAGCAGTTGTTTCTTTGATTGTCGTGGAACTTCCTGCCAGGGTTGTTTCCATTAATGCTGTGGAGGTAGTCACTGTTGAAAAAAATGAAGAGATAAACATTCCTGGGTTTGAATGCATATATGCATGTTACAGTCCATAAGAGAGAAACTGATACATAGTTGCTGTACAGACTTCTTGTTGTTTCTGTTGAGGATGAAACAACTTCTGTTGTTATTGTCACTTGATTGGGTGTTGTGCCTGTTGTTTTTGCAGTAGTGATAATTTCAGTAGTTGTAGAAGTCAGCTGAGGAATTGTGGTTGTTGGTGTTTCAGTTGTACGAGGCAAAGACTCAGTCGCTGTTATGGGTGGGTTTGTGTCTGGGTCTGGCAAGAGATCATCTATAGAGTAAAAAAATTTAAATAAATAAAAACATTAATAAATGTACTGGTATTTGTTAGCTACACCAGAAACATGCTTGACTTTGCTAAAGGACGAATTTGTGGTTTGCATGGAAATTATGATATTTTTGTTTTCTACTTAATTTTTTAAAGCATCTTATCCATCCTGGATCTGACTTACCAAGAGTATATATGAAGATGAAGTTAGCATCTGTATGTATTTCGTAGCGGTCAATTTTGTAACGCTTGGCGAGGATCTCAGTGAGTTCATTCTGTATTCGTCCTACATCAGCACTAGGAGTCACATTCAGGTGAGCCAAGCAGTCAAACCTACAAAGATTCATAAGGATGACATTATCAAACATTTCTCAAATTTTTAATTGTAATTTTTAAATTGATCATTAATAATGCATGTTTTTTTCTCCATGAAAAAGTAAATAAATATGCCAAAACTAATAAATTAAGGGAAAATTCTTTTAGAATGGAGAAAAGAAGCAACTGAGAAGTGATCCTCACTGGCTGAGTCCAGGACTGGTTGCCCACAGTTGCATGGTTCCCCCCTGAAAAGAGACATTTATCTTGTTAGTTTGATGAGTATGTTTCATGATTTTTAATTTTATACAGATCTATACAGTCTTAAACGAATACTTCACCCAAAAATAAAACATTTGTTGAATGTCATCAGAACAGATTTGGAAAGATTTAGCAATATATCACATGCTCACCAATGGATACTCTGCAGTGAATGGGTGCCGTCAGAATGAGATTAAAACATCACAATAATCCACTAGTAACCCACACGACTCCAGTCCATCAATTAATGTCTTGTGAAGTGAAAAGCTATGCTTTTGTAAGAATCATGATTTAGATATTTTTAACTTTAAATTGTTCCTTCTAACCAAAATCCATAAGTTTCCTCATCTAGTGAAAAAAATCCATTCCCTGTTGTCCTCTAACATCAAAATCCACCAACATATTCGTTTAGAACAA